CTGTCGGCCAGGCTGGGGCGTGACCGGGGTGGGCTGTGGCTGCTGCTGCCTGCGCGCCTCCCGTTCGCGCAGCTCGCTGGGGCTGAGGACGGGCCCAAGGGTGATCCCAGTACCCTTGAGCCGCTTGCTGCCAGCCAGCACAGTAGCAGCCATGGCGGCGGGCAGCGACGCCTCAAGCGCCATCCGCCCATTCCGCGTGATCCACACCCGCTGCACCCGCACGCCGCTGACTGACATGCTGTAGAAGGCGTGCAGCCAGCCGCAAAGGCGTCTGCAGGCATGCTCGTGTGTGGGAAGGCATCCAGCGGCAGCCTCCGCTGCCAAGCCGGGGAGCCCTATCACCGCAATCTCAGCTGTCTGCTCGCCTGTGGGTGGCGCTGGGTCCCGCGCAGGCTGCAAGCTGCCCTCGAGCGGCACGTGCCGAACACTGGGTTCGGCATGCCGCGGGGGGCGGCTGTCGCCGCCGGGCCGCGCCTCTACCAGGCGCTTCTCCACCCATCGCAGGAGCACGAGGAGAGCTGCTGCCGAGAACAGGCCCAGAAACAGGCCGACGGCCGCTGCCACTGCTAGCGCCTCTGAGAGAGTGAAGGAGACGACTGTGTCGAGCATTCTGTGCAATAACTGTGCAATAACTTGCGCGCACACTGTGGCACATGTCGGCAAGCCCAGCCGCCCCACCTGGCGGGGTCTGCTGCAGCAGCAGCCACCGCGCCTCGCAGCTTCTTGGCCATGCTGCTGCTGCCCAGGGTGGCGGCCTGGTAGTCATCCAGCTGGGGCATGGCGTAGCGGCTGAACTGGAGCAGCTGCGGGTGCCAGGGCGAGCTGTGCGGCGGCGCCGAGGAGGGCGCCGTGGCCTGCCAGTGCACGTGAGGAGGGAGGAAAGCGGCCTTCGCACTTGCAGTGGCACAGCACTCCCACCCCCAATGCCTGTATGCCTGGGGCCCTGCTCCCCAGGAGCCCAGCCATTGCAACGGACTTCCTGCTGCGCACCTCGGAGGTGCGCAGCAGGAAGGCTCACCTTGGCGGCGGCGGCGGCAGGGGACGGGGGCTGGGCCGGGAGGCTAGTAGGCACCATGTCAAAGTTGGCTGCTTCGCCCACTCTGATCTTTCTGCTCGACTGTGCTGAGGGCCCGGAGGCGTTGCAAACGATGGGCAGGGCTCTGAGCCTTGCAAGCCTTCCGCCATCGCGGCCCGCTCCCGCGTTGGACTGGGGCACAGGGCACCCACGGCGCCCAAACTGCAGCCTACGCGCATGGACCAGCCCCACTAGGATAGAGGCCGCACTGATGGAGCGAGAATGAAGGGTTTCAGAGTTGGGCCCAGCCAATTCTCGAGCGGTTGGCAGAGCGCGTGGCCCGTGGGCACGCACAGTGTGCTCGGAAAGTAATTGATAACTACGAGGGCCAAGAAACGGCACGCAGGCAGCCACGTACCGTGGTACGCCGAGGACACGCAGCCCCCCGTCCCTGCAGATCTGCGGGCGCTTAACGTCGCCCAATTTGCAACAGCCAACTCTAAAACATCGAGTGGGAACCTAGTCGGGCGCCCCGCGCATCATCTTGAATGTGCGCCCCCGCCGCCAGCTGGAGCAGCGATCCATCCATGCCAATCAAGTGCTGATTCTAGTGGCAACTTGAGGATGCACGCCTGACAACATGCTATTGTGTACGCAGGGTATGAACTACTTTCTCCTCCAACAACGGCGTGAATGGCGGCATTGCGCTGCTGGCAGCTTCCCTGCCACTTCCGGCAAGTCTTTCTGGGCCCCATGCAAGCTTTCTCGGCATTGAACCCCTTCCCATCGTCTCCTCTCCTCTCCGCGCTTCAGTCGGCATCCCTTCATAACCTGCTGAGGAACTAGTCAACCTGCTCGCGATCCAGCCGCTCCAGGAAGCATGCCCGTCGACAGCAGCGCCATGAGGACGCCGCACTTCTGGCTGCGGGTGGCTCAGGTGTGTAGAGCGGGCGGCACCCGTGGAATGGAGCAGCAGCTGCCGGCAGCTGCCCATCTAGCTCGCAAGAATCCATGACCGAGGGGAGCCTCGAGCTCCCAACCTGTCGGCTCTTGCATCAAAGAGCGGCTGGGCTAGCTGGATGGGGGCGCCGACCGCTGTGGCAGTCCCCTCGACGCCTGGCGGCCGGCATGTATGGCCATCCAAGAGTGCAATCTGACGGCAGTTGCCGCACCCTCGTTGTTGTGCTCCTGCAGGTGGTGTTTGGCATCATCGCGTAAGTGGTAGTCGCTGCAAGAGATGGCAGGAAGGGCCGGGCATGCCACTTGGCCCATACCGCCGCTGTGGCCCTGGCGTGCACGTGACGCCTGCCGCAAGCGGCCAAACCGCTCAATCGGCCGCTCAGTCCGCCCCTGCCTGCAGCTTTGCTCCGGTGGCGGAGGGCGCTGGCTACTCGCGCTACGACTTTGCAATCTTCTGCGGCGTGACCACCATGCTCCTGTCGCTGGCCCTGGCCATCTGCTACCTGCTTGGCATCAACAAGGTGTAGCAGCGCTGCCACCGCCTGTGCGTGGCCGCCATGCAGCGTGCAAGCGTTGCCGGGGTGCCCCGCTGTGCCCCGCTGCCCTCGGCGCTGGTTGGCAAAGCTGCTCCAGCGTCCTCCTCCCACCTGCTCCCCTGCCCCGCCCCTGCCAGGTCAAGGGCCTGGTCTCACTGGTCTATGATGGCGTGTGGTTCATTTTCTGGCTGTCGTGCGCCGCCGCGCTCTCCAACATGCTTAGCTGGTCGTGGTGGGGCTCCAGCAGCCGCCTGCAGGCCTCGGTCGCCTTCTCCTGGCTGACCTGGTGAGCGCCAGGGTGGATGGAAGTGTGGTGGCTTATCCCTGCTGCCCTGCTTCCCTGCCTGCCGAAAACTGAATGCCCTCGCCTCCGCAGGTTCCTGTTCATTGGCGCCGTGGTGCTGGACGTGATGGACATGCGCTCTGGCGGCACCGTCGTCCTCGAGGCGCCCGCGCCAGGCGGAAAGGCGGGACCGCCCACGGGCGCGGTGGCGCTGCCGGCCAGCAGCGTGGTGTAGGTGACTCCAAAGGCGCAGATCAGCAACACGTCAGCCTCAGGCCGCCTCAGACCGGACGCATAATGACAGTTAGTCTCCCAACCATCCATGTGGCGATGCCACCCATTTCCGTCTGCCCTTCTGCAACCCTGAGCTACTTTCACCTCTCACTTTATGCTCCATTCTGTACTGCAAGCACCAATTTATAGTGTAAGCCCAGAGGCCAACCAGTGGGCAACATGAGGCGGCCATCCCCCGCCCAGCGGGCGCAGCAGCAGCACATGCTTCACCCTTCTATCGTGCGGCTGGTTCGTTCGCCATTCTAATCCACTGACGTCTTCCGCAAGTGCCGTGCGCGCCCAGCCTGCTGCAAATCAGGGTGCAACCATGGGTCTCGAAGGATTGAAGTCGGGGGCTGGAGTTTTGCGGTTTTTCGAGGTCCGTGATGTCGTGCGTCGCAAGGAGGTTGCTGGGGAGGGTGGCACAAACCGCGATCCGAAAACGCGGGGGTGGCGTAAGCCTAGCCCACGCGGCCCCGGGCCCTGGCTTACGTCTCGGCGTCTCCAGCAGGCGCCAGCGCCACCGGTGGCAGTCGACGGTTGCGGCCACCGCGGTCGGTGTTGGCGGCGGCTCCGCCGCTGCCGGCGACGTAGCCGCGTCCACCGGGCGCAGCTCAAGGAGCAGCCGGCGGGCAGGGCAGCTTTTGGCATGGCGCCATTCCTACCAGCAGCGCGGGCAGCCATTCGCTATCTTTGTCCCTTGCAACAAGCGCTGGGCATGCCCTAGTTCGCTCCCAGCAGCTGGCACTCAAAGGTCCCTCCAACTTCCGCCGTTTCCGCCTGCCTGCCTGCCTGCCTGCCTGCGATGCTGCAGATGATCTGCGCCATTGTGGCCTTTGCCACCATCGTCGACTATGATGACTTCTCCTCTAAGATCCGCTACACGGTGGGCTGGCTGGGCTCTCTTGGCCAAGCATGTGCTTGCGGCACCTGCCCCGGCGCCGCGCTGGGCGACTGACCCCTTGCCCCTGCCCTGCCCTGCCACCTGCAGATGTTTGTGGGCATCACTGGCTTCATCATCGCGTTCTTCATGCTGGTCGCATACGCCGTGGGCGTGTCAGCGGTGAGGTTTGGCTGTCACGGCCGGCCGCTGTGGTTGCATGGCAGTTGGGCAGCAGCCGCACACCCCGCGCCTGCTGGCTCAGCTCTCATTTCTGCTGCCGTCCTGCCTGCAGGCACGCGGCATCATTGCGCTTGTCCTGGATGCCCTGTGGGTGGTATTCTGGCTGGTGAGCCGTGCGGTCCTGCCCCGCCTGCCTGCGCTTGGACTGCCAGCCCGCGTCTGCTGCTATCTTGCTTGCCGGCTGCCCTGCTGCAGCTGCTGCCATGGCTGCGTGGCCGCGTGATCCTGCTGCTGTTGCCCCACCTGCTGCCGCGCAGGCCGCCGCCGCCAGCATGTCTGACATTGTGGCCGACGGCGGCACCAACAGCAACATCAAGGCCAGCTGCGCCTTCAGCTGGATCGCCTGGTTCCTGTGGATCGGCTCCCTCGTCATCTCTGTCATGGACTGGCGCAGCGGCAGCCCCGGCCCAGCCCCCACCACCGCGCCACCGGCAGCCGCCATCCCCAACAGCAGCGTGTCCATGGTCTGAGCCAGCCAGGCCGCAGCTCAGCGCATGCCGCCGCGCTGTGCCGTGTCGGCAGCAGCAGCTCTTCACGCCATGCCGCCCGGCGGGAAGATAGGCACGCGCTGCCGATGCGACAGCCTCGAGGCACTCCACACCCAAAACTCAACCGAGGCGACAGGGCGGCTGGGAGGCGAGCAGCACAAGTGCATCGTCTGCCCGCAGCCCCCCCCTTGCCTGGCCACCCACCCATGACGCCACCCACCTCCCAACTGTCAGTGGTGTGTGTCTGTTGATACCTCACGCGCACTGCTTTATTCCCTGCCAAGCACGCCTCTCCTGCCCGCGCGATCTTGCGGCTCTGAATTGCCCTCTTTTTCAATCCCATTCCTTTGCTATTGAGTCGTATGCGTTCAATCCATGTGAGTTGCCAGCCTGCGTGTAACACAGAGAGATGAAGCAGGAAGAGTCGCGCGCACGCCACCTGGCGCCCGGTCGCGGCCGCGCCGGCCATAGCTACCGCCGCGTCGAACCCGGGGAAACCCGCCGGCTTGTTGCTGCAACTTCCCGCAACACACCGCCTGATTTCTAATTGCTGTGCTTCGCGCGCCGCTGAGCACACGGGCTGCGGCTGGTTTAGCAAACACCCAAACAAAGGCAGCCAGAATGGGTGATGGACCCGTGGCGACGAGCTTTCCCTTCATCTTAAGGCTGTTCGAGGCAAATGCCGCCGCCGCCCCGCCAACCTGCCCCGCCGCTGCCGCCGCTACCCGTCGCTGATCAAGTGCCTCTGCGTCAATCCCTCTCCCCCTTGGCCTCATGCAGATGTTGACCTCGATCATCGCATTCTCAGTCATCGTGGTGTATGAGGGCAGCTCTAAATACAACTACATCGTGAGTGTCTGCCCTGCTCTTCTTCTTCCCCTGCATGAGCCTGCACTCAACGCTGACCCGCCTTGCCCCTGCTGCCTGCACCGCGCCCCCGTTGTCCCCACGCACAGATGTTCACTGGCATAGCAGGGCTTGTAGTCTCTTTCTTTTATCTGCTGCTTTACCTGGCGGGCAATCAGGCGGTGAGCTGCCCTCCTTGGCCTGTGCCTTGCACTCCTCCCGACTGCCTTGCCTCCCCGCCCGCCAAACCATCATCCTGCCTGCTGATTCCAGATCCGCGGCAAGATATCGGCCGTCATTGATTTCTGCATGTGGGCGTTCTGGCTGGCGGCAGCAGCGGTGGCCACCAGCCTTCTGACCAGCCAGTTCACGGACAACTCCCGCACGCAGGCCAGCTGCGCCTTCTGCTGGATCACGTGGTGAGCTGGCGGTGCCTGCCTGCCTACCCGCTGCTGCCTGTGGCTGCTGCTGCAACTGCCGCAGCGCCTGGCGGCGCCGGCCTCCCTCCTGGCCCTCGAACTCTGCCGCCAAGACCCATCCGCCTCGCTTGCAGGGTTGCCTGGACCGCGTCGCTGATCATCTCGGTGCGCGAGGTGCAAGGGTACGAGTACTGAGGCTGCTGCTGCTCCAATTGTACCATTCATTCGCCAGAAGCTGCTGGTGGCGTCTCAGCGGGCAGCAGCATGGCCTGGCTTGCCAGCTGGCAAAGAGAGCTGGCAGTTCGCCGTGAGAGTGTGCACAGCATGCCAGAGAGAGAGAGCGCAGCGAGGCAGTCGAGTTGCTTATACCTATCACCCCTTGTTGACCGTTGAAGCGCTGAACAGCTGACGTCCTCATCCATCCTCATGCGCATCACATTTCATGCCAGTCTTGCCGTCCTGCCTTTCATCAGCAACCACCACCCACACCCATGTCCTTTCTGGAAGCCTGTGAAAGCATGCTGCTACACTACAAATTTATTGCAAAAGGTGTCTGTGGCAAACCGTAGCAAAGAAACAGTATCAATAGAATAGCAGTGTCCAAGTTACAAGCCACAGCGAGTGCTGGCCTCCCGAATACATAAATAGGGGCAGCCAGCCGTGCGCTACAGCCATCATGTAGGACAGCCGGTGTCACGCCTTTTTGTTGGAGTTTTGCAGCGTCTTACCCAGCTGCAGCAGCTCCACGCTGCAGTCATCTTTATCAAGCACACACTCGATCACCACAGCCTTGTCCTGCATGCCCTGTGCCGCCTGCATCGCCGCCGCACACTCCTCCTCGGTGCGAACCTGTGGGAGGCAGCCAGAAGGGGGCGCATGCCAACATGGGTGGCAACAGGGACAGGTACGGTACATGCAGGGCAGCGGGGTGTGCAGGGTGAACAGCTGTAGGTGCTGGAGTGCCTGCCGGGAGGCGCCTCCCGGTGCACCAGGCACGGCGCCCACTCCAGCTGCCGCCTGGCCACCCCACCTGCACAGCATGCACGCGGCCGCCGCCGTTGTCGAGCGCCAGCGCCAGGCTTTTGTAGTCCCAGGAGTTGAGCTCATTGTAGGGCCCATCGTGGATCTCAACCTGCGGCGGCCCAGCAACTCAGCGCACAGCTCAGGGGCAGGCCAGCTCGGGGGAGGAACAAAGCCGCGGCGGAGGCTGCCGCCAACATGTGCTTCAAACAAATTCAAACAAAAGTTTTGGTGGGTTGGCCCCTCCTTCCGCCCCCCTCCTCCTTCCCTGCCCTCCCCTGCGGCCCATCACCTCGATGCCATACGAGGCGTTGTTCATGATCATGATGATGGGGGAGAGGCGGTACCGGATGATGGTGGACAGCTCCTGGGCAGTCATCTGCAGCAGCGCATGGGGCGAGCAATTAATCAGTCAATGCTGCCCGCTCGCTACCGCATAGCGAACGCGAGCGGGGCATCACCAGACACACCACATACACCGCCCACCACCACCACTTCCCCAACCACACACCGCCACACCTGGAAGGCGCCGTCGCCGATGATGTTGACCACCCGCTTGGTGGGTGCGCCCAGCGTGTAGCCCAGCGTGGCGCCCAGGCTCCACCCGATGGAGGCGTACTGGGACTGCGCACATGCTCAGGGAGGGGCCAGGCGTGTGGCAGTGTGGGCGTGCAGAGTGTGGCTGCGGGCGACAGAAGACCTGCCTGCTGCGCCCACCGAGCAGCACGCGCAGCTGCGGCACCCGCAGCGTCCCTCCTCCTCCTCCTCCTTTCCCGATCCGCCAGCCCAGCCCACCGCGGCGCTCCACCACCGCGGCCGCCGACCTCCCACCAACCTGGATCTCCCAGCCGGCCCCCGGCGGCAGCCGCAGCTTCACCGCGTTGAACCAGCTGTCGCCGGCATCCACCACGATGGTGTGGGAGGAGCTCAGGGTGACCTGTACCAAGAAGTGCGCAGAGATGCCGACATGTGGAGGGCTGTGGCCAGCAGCCGCAGCCAGGGCGGCGCGGAGGGCCAAGCCCAACTGCAGGCAAACTTCTGCTGACCCGCGCTTCCGCTAGGCTGCCGCCCGCCCGCAGAGTCACCCACACAGCCAGCCAGCCCCAGTGCTCCACCCCACCTGGATCTGCTTGTACACGCGGTTGAGCAGCAGCGGGGTGCCGGGCGGAAGCTGCGGCGGCACGCCAGGTGGGATGTACATCGTGCGGTACTTGTCCAGCAGTGCAGAGTTGCGCCTCACCTGCGTAGTTGGAGATGCAGTCGAGGTGGTGTGTGTGCGTGGGGGATTGGAGTGGAGTGAGTGGAACGATGTGGGTTTGAGTGCATGGGGGGAGTACTGCGGCAGCAGGGCCCTGCCTTGGGGATCAGCGCCTCCAGGAAGTCTTCCAGCTGCACCTGGCCGAAGAAGCCGGCGGTACCGACCGTCACTGCAGGGCGGGACAGGGGCGACAGAGTCAGCGATGGTTGCCAGCTTCGCGAGCCCCATCTTGGCTTGACACGGAGGGAGCTGGCAGGCTGGGACGCTGCTGGCGCCAGAGGCGGCCGTCGAGCCGCTGGCGGGCATGGCAAGTGTGCGCTGATCCAGCATGAGGCATGCTGGTCTGGCGGAGGCTTGCTCGCCCACCTGTGTCGGGACCCACATCGATGGTGGCGGCGGGGTCGATCATCAGGGAGAAGCCGGCGGTGGAGAGGTCGTTGAAGATCTGTAGGGGTGGGGCAGTGAGGCGAGGCGAGGCGTGTGTACAGGGCGTGGAGTGGCTGGTGGTGGCGGCGTGGGGCATGTGGTGTTGGAGGTGGGGGGCAGGGGCAGGGGTGTACGCTGCAGCGCAGCCATGACCAGCAGCCTGCGGCCGCCCCTGGCTCACCGGGCCGGCAAAGAGGTGTGCGTCAGAGGAGACCACCACCTCCCCTGTGTAGGGCGTGGAGATGGATGCCCAGAACAGGCCTGCAGGCGGCGGGGCAGGGCGAGGCAGGCTGTGTGGGGCAGGGAAGCGCGGGGGAGTGCCGCGACTTGGTGCACAGTGGCCAGGCGAGCGATGCATCTCAGACAGGCCCGCCTGTCGCTGCCACAGGGCGCGTCCCAGCCCCTGCCACCCGCGCTCCCACACCGCCCCACCCAACCGCACTCCCCAGCGCCCGCCGCCCCGCCCACCGATGTAGTTGGGATGGTCTTCCGGGAACAGGCCCTTGCTGTTCACCATCACAGCCACTGGGTACCCAGAGGCCTCAGCCAGGGCGATCATGGCGGAGCGGGCGCGGGCGCTGCGCATGTGAGCGCCACACACGAGCACAGGCTTGATCGCCTGCACGGCACACAACAGGAGCCTGGCCTGGATGAGTGAGCAAGTGGCAGCAGAGGACCGCAACGAGCTATCTGGCAGCGGCAGCGGCAGCTGCATGCCACTCCCGCCTGTGGCTCGGCTCGGCTGTTGCTCCGCCCGTGCAACACACAGCCGGCATGCGTGCCGCGGGCAGCGCCACCCAGCCCAGCGTGCCTTGTTCAGGAATGCGGCGGCCCGCGAGACGGCGGTCTCCAGGTTGGCTGCAGGCAGGCGGGCGGCCAGGCCGAGGTTGGCGGCAGAGGTGCGAGCTGGCCCAACTTGCTGAGACGCTTCTTGCTGCGCCAGGCACGGCCAGCGCCAGCGAGCATCCCCGGTGCGTGCAAGCCTGCCTGCCAGGCCCGGGGACACAAAGCCGCGCACCTGCCGCCGACACGGGCGGCGGGATGACCAGCGGCGCGGGCTCCTGGGCAAAGGCGGGGTGCGCCAGGGTGGCCAGGTTGGCGGGCACGCTGATGTAGACGGGCTTACGGTGCTCGCAGGCCGCCAGGATGGCCCGGTTAATCTGGTCGTACGCGCTCTCCGCATCCCGCAGCACACACTGGTAGCAGGTGACCTGCAGGGCGGCGGCAGGGACGGCAGGCGGGGTGGGCGGGTGGGCGGTCAGACCGGCAGGCAGGCGAGGCAGGGCCAGCGCGCAGGCAGCAGGCATAGCACAGGCCCTGGACCTGCACACCCCACTCGTAACCCGGCCCCCCCACACCGCCACTCGTGTTGGAACCCATGAGCTGCTGACCTGGCGGTAGCACTCCAGCTCGAAGTTAAGGTCGCCGCCGTGGCCCAGCGTGTGGTGCACCACCTGCACACCAGGCATGGACAGGCAGGGGCAGCAGCAGGCAGGGATGCTCCATCAGCCACGCACCACTGGGAGACGCACCCGCCGCTGCACCCCACCCCAGCCAGAGCTGGGCAGGGAGAGCACGCCAGCGCAAGCTTTAGAAGCGGCAGCGCCCACGGCGGCAGCGGCTACGGCGGCAGCAGGCCGGCAGCCGCACCCGGTTGCTGTTCCAGGCGGTGGTGGGAGGCGCCCCCACCACCACAACCACCGGCACATTCTCGCTGTAGGCCCCAGCCACGGCATTGATGGCGCTCAGGCCGCCCACGCTGAACGTGGCCACCAGGCAGGCGATGCCGTTGGCCCGGCCGTACCCGTCGGCGGCATACCTGCAGGGACGGGAGGCGGGAGGCGGGGGCGGTACCATGAGCGCGCCCAGCTGCCTGTGCTGCAGCGGGACCGAGCCCTCCCCTTCCTCCTCCTCCTGCGGCTGCTGCTCTTCTCCACCCCTGCCTCCTTCTCCCCTCACCCGGCGTTCAGCTCGTTGCAGCACGAAATCATTTTCAGGCGCCGCTCGCCCAGCAGCTCATCCAGCAGAGCCAAGTTGAAGTCGCCTGCAGGCCAGGGGGCACACCATGGCGCAGCTCCTTCAAACCAGGAGGTGCCTGAACTGCTGAGGAGCGCAGCGGGGAGTAGCGGAGCAGCCATAGGCATAAAGCAGCGCATCCGGGACCTGCTGTTGCCGCTCACCCGGCACACCAAACCAGTGCTTCACCCCTACATCCGCCAGCCGTCCCGCCAGAAACCTGAGCCCACAAGCAAGCAAGCCATATTGGCACATGGATTGGCTTGCTGTGCGCAGCGCCCTGGTTGGAAGCCCCACCGCCAGCGCTGCCTGCCGCCCGCCTGTCCCACCTGCCCAGCGTGCAAGGGCGGGGCACCAGCCCGCCGTCTGCCGACTGGCGCTTGGTGTCGCTGAAGGCGCGCTCCAGGCTGGCGCTGCGGGCCTGCAGCACCTTGGAGTCCGCCCGCTGCGCCAGCTTGCGACCCCTGCAAAGAAGCAAAGGGGGCGTATCAGCGTGTGGCTGGCGCAGGCGGCTCAACGGCTGGCTCAGCGTCCAGGCGGCTGGCACAGGCGGGGGCGGCGGGAAGAAACACTGGGCGGGCATGCAACCCGGCGGCGGCCACCAACCGTGACCGCGGCGACACCAGGGCTAGGTAGCTCAGCGACTCCTCCAGTGGGGCGCCCTCTGGAACTGGGTCCGCGACTTGGTGTGGTGTGGTCGTCATGGTGGTAGTTGACAGAGAGGAAACAGGTGCACAGCTCGCTTCTGGGGAGGCGGCGACGTTGGACTTCAAACAGTCCTTTCATTGATTACTACAAAATAATTGACAGGTGGCGCGCCAGAATTGGGGACGCGGCAAGCCCAGTTGCGGATGTTTCCCGAGCCGAAATTCGGGTCTGGGATGCTCTCTGTGAATGAATGATGGGTTGCACAATGCCAATGCCAACATCACCGGCAGTACCAGCTGGCCAGTTGGCGGCGTCACAGGGAGTGCAACGGCCGCCGGCAGCCACCGATACTTGCACAAGTGCGGGCATTCGACCCGGAGGGTGCCGTGGTATACCTTCCATGGCAACTCCCGAGAGAGACTTCCAACTTACACCAATGACTGATCAGTGCACAACCGACGCTTGGACGCGAGGCGAGGTGCCTCTTACGCAGCGGGCGACGGTGGCACCCGCCTACCTCTGCCATTCGGTTCGCTTCCCTCCCACCTTCACAGGCGGTACAGCTCCGAGTACTTGTCCTTGATGTATGCCAGGAACACCTGGGGGTCCAGCGGCGCCCCCGTCACCGCTTTCATCAGCTCATCGCCGCTGGTGTGCAGCGAGCCGACCCTGCGGTGCCCAGTAGGGGATGCGGGTGTGGGCGGCCGTGTGGTGGGCGGGGCAGCGCAGGTGAACCAGCCGACAGATACCTGGGCAGCAGCCCAGGTATTGATGCCCAACCATTCGAGCTTTGCTCCAGCGGGCAGACATGCCCGACGAGCTTAGCAAGACAGCAGCCCTCGCCCTCGCCACCCGCCACTCACTTGTGGATCTTCTCCTTGAGCCACAGCCGCAGGCGCTCAAACCTGCCGCCCGCGATGTCGTCAGCCAGGCCCGGCAGCTCCGCCTCCGCCGCCTTGAAGATCTGGGTGGCATACATGGCGCCCAGGCTGTAGGTGGGGAAGTACCTGCAGGACGGACAGGCAAGGACGGACAGAAACCAGCAAGCATTCGCTTGCTGGGGCGCTCAATGAAGGGGCAGGTGCTGGCCCGGCACGCTGCGGCCCCCGCAAGGCCCCCTCCTGCTCCCCCCGCAGCCCTCGGCACACTGCTGGGACGCAGCCGGCGCGCGCTCACCCGAACAGCCCCGCAGACCAGTGCACGTCCTGCAGCACGCCGCGCGCGTCGCTCTCGGGCTCGCACCCCAGATACTCGTTCATCTTCTGGTTCCACAGCTGCGGCAGGTCGGCCACCTGGATGCTCCCCTCCACCAGCGCCTTCTCCAGCTCATACCTGCCCAAACGGGTGGCGGGGCGAAGGGAGAGGCAGAGAGGGGAAGGGGGCGACTGGGAAGAGCGGGTGGGCGGGCGGCAGCCCACGGTGGCAGCAACAGAGCATGCACGCATCACTCCAGCGCAGCCCGCCGAGGACTGCAGCCTCTACCCTGCCCTTCACCCTGCACCCTGCCGCGCCCCTGCTGCGGCCGCCCGCGGCAGCCGGCGGGCCGCCACGGCGCGGCGCCAGCCCGCCCTCACCTGATGATGATGTGCAGTGGGTAGGTCACCTCATCTGACTCAACACGAATCATGGAGGGCACCTTGACGATGTTCAGCGCGGCATACAGATCCTCTGCACCCTTATCCTCCGGCAGCTGCAGGCGAACAAAGAAAGGCAGGGGAGGAAAGGATCAGGGCGGGGGTTGGAAGGCCGGGGCGCCTCCGCAGCATGCAGGGGTGAGCGGGGCACGGGCGCGAGGCGGGTCGGTGTAAGGGCGGCGTGCGCGTGCGCTCAGCGAGAGAGGCTCACGCAGCCACCCAGCTGCCCAGCCAGCCAGCCGACACCCGCACCTGAGGAAAGTACTCCTTCATGAGCGGCAGCAGGTAGGCGGAAAAGGGGCGGCCCAGCCCCACCAGGCGCTCCCACAGCAGCGACTGCGACTCATGCACGCCCATGCCCAGCGCCTGCACGCCGAGGAAAGAGAGGGCGGGGGCACCGCAACGGCCAGCGATCGGCATGCCGCCACGTGCCGCACGCGCCGCCCGTCGCTGCCGCCACTCGCCACTGTGCGCCGTGCCCGCTCCCACCCTCAGTCCAGTCTTCCCCATCCCTTAGCCCAGCCCCCACGCCGCCGCCAAGAATCCCACCCCCACCTGGTTGACCGGGAGGCCGTCGTACTGCAGGTTGCGCCCCTGCTCGTACAGCGCATGCCCGCTCTCGTGGATGGCCCCAGTGATGCCCTCGGTCAGGTCATCCTGCTTGAAGCGGGTGGTCATGCGCACGTCGGTGGGGTGCGCGCCTGCACGGCCCAACCAAGGGAGGGAGGGTGCCGGGGCTGGACGCGGCAAGCGGCGACGGCGCACGCAGGCGCCGCGAGGGGACAGCAGGGGCACGCAACGGCGCGGCCCCGCGCGTGCCAGCGTGCAGCGGTCCCGGCACCGCCAAGGAGCTGCAGCAAGGTGACGTTCCACGGCGCAAGGGACTTTGCCGTGCGGCGGGGCCGCACCGCCGGTGAAGGGGTGCACGCTGACGTCCAGGCGGCCGTTCTCCAGGCTGAACCCCATGGCTACAGCTATCTTGTGGCACAGCTCCGCCTGGCGCTTGGTGTCGTAGTCGCCCTTGAGCCAGGTGTCTGCAGGAGGGCGGGGAGGCGGGGGAGGCGTGGCGGGCAGGTGCCTGGTGGAGGCTGCGCGGCCAAGCAGGCCGAGCGGGTTTGGCAGCAGCAGGCAGGCCTGCTGGCGCGGGAGCAGGGCGGGGTGCCCCACGCTGTGCGAGCACGAGGCCCCAGGTGGTGCCAGCAGCAGCGGGGGGCAACGGCGCACCTGAGGGGGCGGTGCCTCGCTCGCGCAGGTCTGCCAGCAGCGGCACCAGGCCTTCCTTGACCTGCAGCACAGCAGGATCGGGAGGGAGGGGGCGTGCGCTGTCGGCAAACAAGCCACAAGCCGCTGCAACAAGAACCACTGCAATACGAAAATCAATCAAACACCAGGGCCGCACGGCCGGCAGGGTGCGGCACCCAGCAGCCATGCGAGCCCATGCGCCGCACGCGCCTGGCCAAAGATCTCGTCCAGCCGCGCCGCCGTCATGCCCTTCTCGTAGTCGTCAAGCAGCGTGTCGTACACAGGGCTGCGACGAAACAAGGGGGAGCGGTGCGCATGGTGCGCATTGTCCCAGGCACCCACACATGCACACACCCGCACACACACCCTGCCACCGCCATCTCACACCCCACTGTCACCCACCCCATCGCCAGCCATCCCACATGCCCACACACGCCCAGCACCACAGCCGCCCTTACCCAGCCGGGTCCACCAGCCGCGCCTTCTCCCGCCGCAGGTCAACCCACTCCTGCAGCACCGGCGCGAACTGGGCAAAGTCGCTGGCTTGGCGCGCCTTGACCCAGGCCTGCGGCGTGGTGGGGGGGCAGGGGCGCGAGGGAGGGAGGCGCCGGCGAGCGGTGAGGCGGTGGGCGGAACCAGGCAGGCCAAAGCGAGTGCTTGGGTGCGTTGAGGAGGGCACCTAGCGCCAGCCCCTGCACCCCAGGCGCCAGCCCCAGGCCCCAGCCACGTCTCACCTGGTAGCCCCGAGACTCCAGCTCCGCCTCCCGCTGCGCCAGCTCCTTGGGGACCGCAGTCAGCTTGCCGTAGTCGCGGGCCGCCTCGCGCACCGTGGCCTGCGGCGCGGCGGCAGGGCAGGGCAGGGCTGGGCAGGGCAGGGCAGGGTGTGGTGGTGCGCAGCAGTGGCGCCGTGCACGCCACGGCCCGACACGCCCGCAGCCCTGCCCCTCCTGCAACAAGCAGCCCCAAGAGGGCTGGCCTGGCCCGCAGGCAGTGCAGGCACTCAGCCGCCTCCCCGGCCCTGCCGGGGCAGCACCTGCTGGTAGGCGTCCAGCTCATCCGCCAGGTTGGCAGCTTGCAGCTTGGCCAGCAGCCCCCCAAGCTCCGCCTCGGTCTGCTTCTCGTGCAGCACCCCTGCCAGCGCCGCCTTCTGCACCGCCCGCGACTCGGCGGCGCCCGCCGGCATCATCACCATCTCGTCCCACCCCAGCAGGCCGCTGCAGGGAGGCGGGAGCGTGGACGACGCGGCCAGGGGAGGTTGGCACAGGGCGAGGGAGAGCGGTCAGCGGCATGTGGGTGGGGGACGGGGAACGCGAGGCGCCCACCTGATGCCGCCCAGCGCCGACACTTCCTGCAGCCAGGGAGGAGGGAGCCAGGGTCGCAGAAGGTGAGATGTTATGAATGGTCAGGGTGCCAGGGAGCAAAGAAACCTCCCCTACCTTGAGCTTCTTGGCAAGAGCGTCATAGTCAGCCTTCACGGTGGTGGCTGGAGCGGCGGTGGCGGCGGTCATGGCGACTGCGCTGCTGCGGCGGGCAACCACAAGCTTGGCTGCTGAGCGCTTGGCGGTGATTGGTGCAGTGCAGGCGGCTGCTCTGAGGCCGCAGGCCTGCATAAGAGAGATGAGAAGGCGGGATCGCCTGGTTTTGGAACTGGCACACTGCAAACTGCGACTCCACAGGCTACCACATGCGTGATCAAGCCAATTGCCCGGTCTTGAGGCCCGAGTTGGTCGTGAAATGGCTGCTGGGGAGAGGGTTCTTGTACTCGCTCCGGCTGCCTCGTTCATCGTTAATCTTGCTCGGCTAGGACGATACAACGCGCAGGATGGGCGCCCCGCCCACTGAGTAGGGTGCCCAGCATGTTCCGCCGAAACATGTCTTTCGAGTTCAGCAAGCGGCCTGTGAGCCTGGCAGGCAGCAGGGGGGCGCGTGAGGCCAGCAGGTAGGTGGTGCGCTCAGAAGTCACGCCGAGGCGGTGGCTGGCAGCGGCCGCCGGTTTGCCGCCACGAGGAACCAGAACAGTCCGGCCACCAGGCCCGGCCCCAGCCACCTGAATCGTCTGCATTGCCCCACCCCTTGCAGCGATGAGGTGCTCAGCAAGGCCAAAGCGGAGCGCGCGGCCCGGCAAGCCGAGCGCCAGCGCCAGCGAGCGGCGACCACGGTTGCTCGGTGGTGGCGGGGCAGCCGTGCGAGGGCCACCATGCGGCAGCGCCTGCAGCAGGAGTGGCTGCAGCAGTACGGTGGCACCGTGGCCCAGCAGCAGCTGGCGCTGACCGCTGGCGAGCTGGCAAGCAGCATGCTCCCGCCCGTGCTCCAGGCTTACCTTCCGACCACGGCACAGCGACAGCAGCATGCGGCGCTGCTGGGTGGCGCACCGCTGCCGGCACCGCTGATGGCAGACACCCGTGCGCTGCGCGGCTGCTTTGCGCTGCTGCTGCGAAGCCTGGCAGCTGGCGACCTGCAGGCAAACTTGCTGGGGCTTGCAGCGCAGGGCTCGCAGCAGCGCCAGATGCTGCTATCCCAGCTCAAGCGGCTGGCGCTGCTGTGCTGCAGCGTCATCGGCAGCGTCATCGGCAGCGGCAGCAGTGGTAGTGGCAGCAGCAGCACCGATCCCCTGCTGCAGGCGGCTTCCGGGAGGCTGCTGGGTATCCTCTGTGACGCATCGCTTTGGAAATGCTTCTCAACCCAGCACGGGCAGCAGCCCGCGGTGCCGGAGGCCCCACAGCTGTGGCTGCATCGCCAGTTGCATTCATGGCTGGCACCGCTACCGGTGCTGGCGGCCGCGGCCAGCCGCTTAGTCGTGTGCCTCACTTTGGCGCAGACCAACAATGATCCAGGCAGCGCCAGCAGCAGCCAGCGGCCACCGCAGCAGCAGCAGCTGGCCGCTGTTCTGAATGGCCTGGTGACTGCGCAGCTGCGGCTGTGGCGCCAGCTGCAGGCCGGGGAGGGTGGCAGCGCCGGCAACGCTGCCACGGGGGCTGCCGCCCAGCAGCTGCTGCAGGCGCTGGCCACTCCTGGGCTGCTGCTGCTGCTGGCGCCTGCCACCGTGGCGCAGCTGACAGCAGCCCCCGGCTTTGCAGAGCTGCTAGAGTCTGCCGCCACCTGGCAGCCTGCCGGCAGCAGTAGCGGCGATCGGTCCAAGTGGCAGGGTGCCAGGGGCAGCGAGGCACTGTGCCTGCTGGGCACGCTGTCCCAGCTGGCAGCGGGGAAGAAGGCCAGCCAGCAGCAGGGCCGACAGGTGGCCTTCCTGCCGCCCTCGATGCTGCTGCAGCAGCAGGGTGTGGCACCAGCGCTGGGGGCCGCGGCAGTTGCACTCCTACAGCCTGCCCTGGAGCCAGGGAGCAGCAGCAGCGCAAGCGGCAGCGTGGCGGAGCAGCTGTGGCCGTTTTCGGAGGGCACGTTTGCGGCGCAGCTGCTGGCCCTGCTGCCGCTGCCGCAGTTTGCCCGGCTGTACCACCTGCTGCTGCTCATGGCAGACTCCTCCGGCGGCGGCGGCAGCAAGGCGCAGGCCGCCCGCCTGCTATCGGCGCTCGCCTTTGGCATGCAGCTGCTGCCGCGCCTGTGGCGCCAGCTGGCGACCACCGTGGGGCTACCTTTGGAGGCGCCGCTGCAGGCCACCCGCGGGTGGGAGGTGCCCACGCTGCGGCACGGCATTGCGGGCCTGCAGCCGAAAGCCGCCACGCAGCTGGGCCTGTTCTGCAGGTGAGATCAGTTTGGGGCTGGCACCTGGGCCTACCGCCGGCGATGTGCTTCTCCTGATGCTGCCCTTGCAACTTTGGCTCGCTTCTGGCCCGTGCCGATGCTGCTGCCTTGATGCCCTTTTGGTGCCCTGCCGTGTGCTGCAGGGTGTACTGCCACCAGCTGATGGTGGTGGATGACTATGAATTCCACGATAAGCAGCAGGTCTGTTTAGTCGTTCTTCCCTGCCAAGCCTCTATGATGAGCCTGGTGGGCTGCTATGAGCCAAGGCTAACTGGCTGGCTCATCACTTTGCTTGCCATCAACGCGCACCTCGTCTTCAGCCAAGCCAGGCCTCTAGGGAAGGGGACCACCCTGGTTTGTCCTGCCTTCCATGCTGTGCCTGCTGTGCTTTCGCACCTGTCCTGCAGACCTTCACTCTAGGCCAGCAGCGTGCCATCGCAGCAGCTATGAACACGCTCGTCTTCCGCACGCAGCTGCCAGACAGCGGCGGCAGGGGGGGAGCTGGAGGCGGCGGCGGCAGGAGCAGTGCCAGGCTGGGGAGGGACTATCAGATGCTGCAGCAGTCGGCGCCGCTGCTGCACAGGTGAGCGCATGCATGGCCAGGCAGCCGTGCCCCGGCCAAACCGGCTGCTTGCTAGGTCGCCATTCCTGCGACGGACGCTGCGCCCTGCACCGCGCAGGGCCCTGTATGAGAGAGACGCCCGCCTGCAGTTCTGCCCGCCCGCACTCTGGCTGGAGCCCTACCATCACCTGGTGGCCTCCAGCGGCCAGCAGCAGCCGGTTTCAGGGGCGGCAGTCGTGCGCGCGCTGCTTGCGGCAGCAGACGACGGCGGGGAGGGCCAGGGGCTGCCCTCCCACCTGCCCGCGGCCGCGCGTGCCGCGGCGGCGGCAGCGGCGGCGGCATCCCGGCCGGCCGCTGTGGCCGCCATCCTCACCGCGGCGCCACAGTGCGTGCCGTTTGACGAGAGGGTGGCGGTGTTCAGGGCGCTGATCGACACAGACAAGGAGCGGTGTGTGTGGCGGTGGCTGGCGGGAAGCGGTGCCCGGCTGGCATGCTGCCTAATGCCCTAATGCTCTTTTGCGTTGGGCTGCTGCCAGCGCTCCGCCCCCGCATCAAGCATCACCTCGCTACGCGCCCTCCTGCCAACCGCCTACTGCTGCTGCTGTGGCCGCTGCGGCTGCAGGCACGGGTACGCTCTCGCTCCCGTGGAGGGCGGCGCCCGGCCGGTGCCCGTCACCATCCGGCGGGGATATGTGTTGGAGGATGCGTCAGCGCAGGCAAGCCCACACCTGGTCTGCCTGTGGTCTGTCTTGTAGTCTATGAACGGTCCTGGCGCAGTTGCCTGGTGCTGCAAGTCAGCTCGGCAGAGCTCGCCAGCCGACCCTGGCCTGCCTTCGTGCCCCGCAGCTGGGCCACCTTGGCAGTGCTGTCAAGTCCCGGCTCAGCATCACCTTCATCAACCAGCTCGGCTACGAGGCAAGCGCCTGCCCGCGCCTGTGCCTGCGCCCTGCACCTGCACCTGCACCTGCGGCTCCCAGCAGCAACAAACGCTGCGCTGTGTTGTTGGTGCCACGCATGATTACGGGCGCCACATGCTGCGCCCCGCTGCGCCCTGCTGGCGGTGTCGTGCAGGAGGCGGGGATCGACATGGGGGGCCTGATGAAGGAGTTCCTGGAAAGCGTGGTGGCGGCGGGCTTTGACCCAAACCGCGGCCTCTTCACCGCCACCCCGGACGGCTACGCCTACCCCAACCCACTGGCAGGTCTGGCCTGCCTGCTGCTTGGTGGCCTGGCGCAGCCAAGGCGCCGCACGACAGCCAGGCCTGTTTTGCTGGGCCGGCACCGAACGCGCCTGCTGCTGCTGCCGCCGCTGCTGCTCTACAGAGCGGCTGGATGGCGGGCTGTCGGCCCTGGAGACGCTGGGCCTGGTGCTTGGGCGGGCGCTGTACGAGGGCGTGCTGCTGGACTGCCCCCTGGCTCCCTTCTTCGTCAGCAGGCTGCAGGTGCGAGTGGTGGGCGTGCGTGGTGAGGATGGTGTGGCTTGTGGATGTGGGTGTGGTTGGGCCCCAGCATCGCCTGCAAAGGAGGTGTTGAGATGCGGCATCCGCCATTCCAGGCTGTGTTCTTTGGTGATATCTTGTGTGAGGCCTGCCTGCCTCTCTGGCTGGCTGGGCGTGCAGGGGCGGTGGCCTCTGTTTGAGGAGCTGCAGGGGCTGGACCCTGAGGTGTACCGCAGCCTGCTGCAATTAAAGCGGTATGAGGGCCAAGTGGCCGACCTCTGCCTCGACTTCGCCGGTGCGCGTACCACCTGCCACGCTGTGCTGCGCTTGCCTCGCCGCGCCCTGCGCTGGCCTCCCTCGCTGCCTCCTTTTTGTAGCTGTCGTCTCTCGCTGCCTGCCGCTCGTCACCTCTTTGTCAGGCATTGCCAATTGCCTGCCTCTACTTAGTGCGTGCCTTTGCACCCTTCCCCACAGTGGAGAGCGACTTCCTGGGGTCCACCATTAGCGAGGAGCTGGTGCCAGGTGGCAGCCACCTGGCAGTGACCAACGAAAACGTGCTGCAGGTGTGTGTGTCGTGCCCAGGCGCTGGGTGGTGTGCGTGAGGATGTGGCAGGCAGCACGGCAGCATTGTGAATTGTAGGGTGTTGGTTCATTCAGGCTGGTCGCACCGTGGCTGGATTTGCTATTTGGGGTGTTTGTTTGGGATCGTTTGTACTGCCTGTATGCTGCAGTACGTCTTCCTGGTGGCCGACTGGCACCTGAACAAGCGCCTGGGCTCCGCAGCGGCGGCCTTCAGCCGAGGGCTGTCTCGGGTGAGGCAGGCGCCAGCTGCCTGCGGGGTACACGGAGCCTGGAGTCTGCTCGGCACACAGCAGGGCTGCCCAAGGGCAGGAGCTTCAGCGACGCCTTTCTGGCATCCCCTCCCCCTGCTCCTCCCGTGCCGCGGCAGGTCATCCCCGCCTCCTGGCTGCGCCTGTTCTCACCCCGGGAGGTCAACCAGCTGCTGGGCGGCGGCGAGGCGGCAGGGCTGAATGTGAACGACATGCAGGCACACACGCAGTACAGGTCGGTGTACCGCCGCCCATGCCAGTGCCGGGCGGCGCATGTGTAGGTATTCTCTTCTTCTTTTTCTAGGTGCAGCAGCAAACCGAGGCCTCTTCCTTCCATCATCCCTGATCCCTGATACTGTGTGCCTGGAGCCAGCGCCTGTGAGGCCGCCTGCCGCAGCTCCAACTGGCTGGCTGCGCAACCCAGCCGACTCGCCCCCCTTGCTGCTGCAGCAACGGCTACAGCGCCGAAAGCACCACCATCAAGCACTTCTGGCAGGTGGTCCGCGGCATGAGCCAGGTGTGTGGTGATGGGCGGCGGACCGCCCCTGTGCGCGCTTGACAGTTCAATGCAGCTTGCAGCAGCAGCGGACAATAGCAGTAACGGTGGCGGCGGCATCGCTGCCCACCCCAGCCCTGCTTGCTGCCTGCTTGCAGGAGGAGCAGCGCAGCCTGCTCAAGTTCGTCACCAGCTGCAGCCGTGCGCCGCTGGGCGGCTTCCAGCACCTCAACCCGCCCCTCACGATACACAAGGTGGCTTGCTGGTCGCAGCCAGGCGGCCGGCTGGCTGGGAGGGCCGTGGGTCGCTGCCGGAGGTTCAGTGAGGGATGCCTGGCGCCACGCTCTCTCTCATGCCGTGCCTGCGCTTGTCCCTGTCCCATCCTCCACCCCGCCCTCCCACATCAATTGCAGGTGGACTGCGGCGCATCTCTGCTGGCGGCGGTGGGCGGCAAGGACGTGGACCGCCTGCCAACCGCCTCCACATGCAGGTGCACCCCTGGCGCCGCCGCCGCTGCCGCCGCAGCCCAGCCTTGTGTGTCCAGCCAGCATGACACGGCTCTCTTCCACGCTGTGCACCGCTGCCGCTACTTGCGTCCATGTGGCCTTGACCGTCGCCCAGTTGCCACCCCTCTGCACCCCTGCCTGTCCCCGCTGCAGCAACACGCTCAAGCTGCCCAACTTCCGGCGCACCGCCACGCTGCGGGAGAAGCTGCTGTATTCCATCCAGGCTGGGGCTGGCTTCGAGCTGTCGTGAGCTGCACCTTGCCACCTGCGCCCTGCCTCCCTTTTCCCAGCCGGTTCCTGTGCCAGTGCATCACAAGCTGCATGACCTCCATCTGCATTGCCAATACGGCTAGGCCTTCGTTCGCTGTGGCGACGACCACACTGTAATGCTCACGCCTGTCAGCCGACAGACAAGGCAGCCAATCTAGCATGTGCACTCAATTGTTTGCTCTCCAGAACGTGTCACCCCTCGTTCCTTCACATCTTTCCGAGCAGCCTGGCGATGTTTCACCACTTTTGAGTAGAAAAGCACAGATGGAGATGCAAGCCGCCGTGACCCAAACAAGGGCCGCCGCCGGCCTTCTCCCGCTTGCTGCTTCCCTCTAATGACACAATGTATGTGCAGTGACGATGTATCGCCACTGCCGGGTTCCAGATTTACGATGCGGAATCTGATTGCAGCTCTGCTCATGCGTCCCAGCCTGGGCTATGCCAGCAAAGACAGCCCTGAGGGCGGTGGCGGCGGCGGTGGCGGCGGTGGCGGCGGCGGCGGCTGCCAGGCCGGCATCGGTAGGATGTCTCTAGGGCGGCGCTGTCGACTCACGACGCTGTAAGGCGTCCCTCGTGAGGTCCCATGGGGAAGGTGGGGGAGATCGGGGTTCCAGCCGTGCATGCAAGGCGGCTGCAACTGGAAGCTACTGCGCAGTTGTGGTTGGCAGCCATTTTTTCTGTGTTCTCGAGAGCTCTCCCTGCCACAACACTCTACAGATTCCGTGTCTTCGTTTCCAAAGGCCTGGTCGTTCTCTCTTGAAAGAGTTCAACCTCCAGCCCAGTACCACCCTCTCACAGCAAGAATAATGGGGGCCCAGCGCCTCTTCCTGGCTGTAGCTCTCACAATATGCTCGTCTATGTGCGTGCAAGGCGGCCGCATGGGCCCAGGTGGGTGAACGCCGCTGCCGCTCCGGGCCGCCGCTTCTGCCGCTGCTTCCGCCACCGCTGCTCCCCTGACGCCGCTATCCACCCCTAAGATCTTACCCCCCAACCCCCCAAAGGATTCCCAGCCCAGCCCACTCCACAACCCCCGCACACACTCTCCTTTTTGTTATCGATAAACACACACACTCACTCATAGGCACTTGCGCGCCCAGCCAACACAGCGCCGCCTGCTCCCCTCCCTCCCCTGCCCCACACGCAGGCGCGCGCGCGCTGCGTCAGGCCTGGTGGCAGGAGTGTCCCTACGCGGTGGACAGCCTGTCCTGCGTCTACTCCGACTACGCCATGCCCAGCCTGGCCCAGACAATGAGCAGCGTGGCGCGCCTGTCCATCATGGATGGCGGCGTGCGCTCCAGCAGCACCACAGACCTGCTGGCGATCCTGCCTCTCAACGACATGATCCAGCGGTGAGCCTCTCAGTTGGAGGGTGAGAGAGGGTTGTCAGCCAGTGAAGGCGGGAGGTTGACGAGGCATACCAACCTCGGGCGGGAGCCTGAGGCAGCTGTAACGCATCGGTGAGTTGGTCGGGGCACAATGCCAGGTGCGGCCGGAGGCGCACGGTCGCTCACGCCGCTGGTCCGTGCCACGCCATGCATGCAGTGTGGCCAGCACGCTGCCGCTAACCATCTACAAGTGTCGCCAGACGCCCGCCCTCCCAGGCGCTCAAGTGAGCCCCGCCATGCCGCTGGCATCCCCTGCGCAGGCTCAAACGGCGGCCATGCAGCCTACTGCCTGTGCCGGGGCATCACCGCTGAGCCTTTGCTGACCGCCATTGCCCCAACCCGCTCTTCCTGTCCCGGCGCCCTGCAGGGGCGCGGGTATGCCGAGGACCCGCTGTCCAAGTATGACGACCTGTTTGAGGCCTGCGAGGGCGCGCCTTTCCCGGATGACAAGAACTTTGTGTTTGGGGCCTACTCGAGGTGCGGGTGCGGTGCTGGGTGCGGGATGCGGGAGCACGGCGTGGCGCAGACGCTTTGCCGGCATCGCGGCCTGGCGTGCTGCTCTCCCTGCCGTGCGCCGCCGCCCCCGCCCTGCTGCGAGGTGCAGCCGTGTGTGCTGAGCTGGCGGGCCGCCGTCCCCACCGGGTTTGGGTTGCAGGTGGGACCTGAGGCCGGAGCGGGACCTCTCGGGCCTGCCGGGCCTGGCAGCCCTGCGCCGGGACCACGCCGTCTCCGCGCCACGCTCCGCGTGTGTGGCTGTCAACCCCTGCGCAATGGAGGGTGAGCCTGCAGCACTAGGCGCCGGGTGCTGAGGAATGGGACCAGCCACCCCGCACAGCTGCTCCACCGGCTGGCTACTCAGCGCTGAGCGCTGAGTTGCTCCTCGCCCTGCCTCCTCACCCCTGCTGCCCTCCCATACCCTGCCGCCCGCAGTGTTCCTGGGGCTGAAGGGCGCTCGGCAGTACATCCGCCTGGAGCGCCCCGGCTTCTACCTGGCCGTCAAGCCCAGGCAGTACTACTTCTCGCTGTACAGCACGGTGGCGCCGCCCAGCTGGCGGCCAGACGCCGCGGCGCCCAGCTTCTGGGCGCTGCCCCGCCCCGACGACATCGGCGCCCTGGGTGAGCCCGGCGCGGCGCGCAGCTGCCGCCAGCCACGGGCAACGGCTTGGCTTGGCTTGGCTTGGCTCGGCTCGGCTCGCCTGGCCGGGCCGCGCCAGTGCAGGCAACTGTGCGCACCCTACACACCCGACCCTGAGAACCCAGCCCTGCTCCCTCCAACCGCACCTCCCCTGTGCTGCCCCCCGCAGGCTCCATGGTGCCGCTGCCCACCCTCACCACCACCACCGGGCGCGTGTGGGTGTCGGGCGCGGTCGCCTTTGGCGGCTTCACCCTGCCCACCGCCCGCTTCGAGCTGGGGAAGCAGGAGGACGCCTGGGTGCTGCTGCGGGATGAGCAGCGCGTGGCGATATCCCTCCACCTGTCGACCGCGCCTTCCATCAAGCTGTGGAACACAATCAAGCTGCCGCTCAGGTGCGGGGGCAGCTGGGTCGGTTTGGCCTGGGGTGTAGGGACGGGGAGGTGTTGGGAGAAGGCTGGCAGCATGCTGCTCTGGGCTGGGGCTGGGGCAGAAGGCTCGTCCACCCAGCTGCCGCTGCGCATGCGTGTGCTTTGGCTGACAGGCGCATGTGCCCCGCGCCCCTTCCCCGCCTGCCGTGCAGGAGCGTGCCTGGCCTGCAAGGCGTGGACCTGAACGTGCGCGGCCTCTCCTCCCGCTTCTGGCTCAGCGCCCAGCAGCTGGCCATCCCCGCCCACGAGCTTGCCAAGGCGGTGCCGGCCCTGGGCGCGCCCATGGCCCGCCTGTTCAAGAGGGCCTCCCTGCCCACCAGCACCAAGGTGGTTGGCCTGGACCTGCACAGCGTCGGCGGCAGCGGCGTGGCGGTGCGCATCAAGCTCACGCCGGGGGCGGGAGGGCGGGCGTACAAGCTGACGCCAGAGGTGGGCGCTCTGCGGGGCGCCTCACCTTGCCAGGGGACAGCAGCCGGCAGCTAGCTAGCTATAGCTGCCGGCTGCTGCGGGCAGCGCCGAGCGGTTTCGTTTCCTGTGCCCGCGCCCTGCCGCCGTGCCGTCCTCTTGCCTGTTCCCCTGCTCGAGGGAGATATGTGCGTTGCCTGCTAGCCGTGGCTCACCCTGCATCCTGCTGGCTGCTCGCTGTGGTGCAGGCGCAGGCTGGGCTGGGCATGACGTCGCTCCCAGCGGTGCAGTACAACCTCATTGTGCACGTGAGCCACCTGCTGCGTGCTGGGGCTGGCTCGGTGATTCAATGCGCACCTGGCGGCACCTGCACGCAGCTTGCACCTCGCCAGCAGCCCGTTGCTGCTCATCCCCACCCCAGCGCTGATCGATCCCTGGCTCCACCTGGCTGCCACCACCTGGCTGCAGGCCCACGTGGATTCTGCCGCCTTCTCCCTGAAGACCCTGGACCTGGGCGGCCAGGCGTACCCCCTCAACTTCTGGTGGGTGCCGCCACCGGCCCTTATGGGGCGGACAGGGCGGGACAGGGCGGGACAGGTGGCCAACTGTCCGCCCTGCCATCCCTCCACCTTGCGCTGCATCTGAACGGGCGATGCTGGCCGCCCTGACCCCTGCAGATTTGATGACGTGACAGACCGGTGATGGCTGGCCAGTTCCCTCCCCCAAAGGGAGGAGTAGAGGGCTGCCTGAAATGTTGCATTTTTGTTTCTCATTGTTTTCACACTGCAATAAAGTTCAGCCACGCACCAGCGGTAGCCCCTTTCTGTTGCAGTGCCCAATTGCGCAATCTCTTCCCCACCCCTCGACCTTCATCATGCCTTCAACTCGCTTGCAACCGACCATCAACACTGTCAACTGAAAGCCCAATCTGCATGCAGCGCCACGGCACAGGAGGGATGGGGGATGTAAGCCCACAGAGGCAATCCCTCCCCCTGAAACAGCGCCAGCCCGTTGGGCCCGCAGTGTTGTGCGCTATCGCTGTGCCAACCACACAAGGCGAAGCACCGTGCTGCTCGGGAGGCGCCCTGCCTTCATGCCTAGTGCAAAAACTAACTATTTTTCACGTGTCAAGGAGCAGCAGGGCGTGACGGACGGGATTTTGCTGGGCAGCGCCAGTGGCGGTGGCGGCAAATGTGGCGCCGGCGCCTGCACCGCCGCCGATGCCAACGCTCTTCCCTGGGGGGCCCCAGGCGGCATTCATTGCTGGCCGATTGCTGCTGCACACGCCGGTTCTGATGGGGTGCACGCCCAATCAAGAGACTGGAATTGTCCCTGGCCATCAGTAGCTACCATTTTAGCTCCTGATCGGCTTGCCCCGGTCGGTCGAGGGCATTTGTTTGGTCATGCAGGAGGCTGCAGGCACCAGCGCGCCATGGAAAGCCGTCGCCGTGGTGACGATCCTGATCCTCAGTGTAGCCTCCGTCGCCGTCGCGCTCACTGCGGCTTCAGGCACTGAGGCTGCCATCCTCGTGGCCTTCGGTGGAGTGCTGTTGCTTCTTGCAGCCATCGGTGCACTCATGGGCACGGGCATCCTCAAGAAGATCGCGCTGGACGTGGAAGTGGTGAGTACGGGTGGCGGGGGAGAGTACTGCAGCGACAGGCTGGACTGGGCGGAGCTGCGCGGAGCTGACCCCAGCTGTCGTCACACTCTTTGTTTGCAGGCAGGAATGCACGCCACGCTCGATGCCCTGGCGGACGTCATGGATGCAGCGGCGACCGTCACGGCGAAGAAAGCCGAGACTCCGGTGGACATCACCGTCTTGCCTGGTGAGGGCCAAGAGCAGCCGGCCATGGCAAACTTCAAGATGTCCTTGGCCGCCATGGCGCCTAGGGCCGACGACATAACTCTGGAAGGTGCACTGGGTAAGCTGAAGGACGCCCAGGCAGAACTGAGAAAAGTGCGCAATAGGTACCAGGCGGTGCCGGCAGATGTTTAGGCGAGTCAGGTTTGCACGCCTGCGCCCCTGCACGCGGTTGGGAGGTGCCAGCTTGCAGCCTTGCCTCGCCTCTACCGCCCCTCCTTTGTCGCCCATGTACAAGTGGCCGCACCCTGCGTTGCCCACTTGTCTGCTGCCAATCCCTCCCTCTCTGTGTGCTTATTTTCCTGCTGCCCCACATCCTTTGGCCATTTGTGGCGTGGAGGCTGCGTTGCACGATTTTGACTGACTGACTGACTGATTTACACCCGATACAGCAATTGAATGCTCAGGCCCCAACTGAGTGCGCAGCTGAGATTGCTGCTGCCAAGGCATGGCATCCAACAGGTGGCTGTTGCAGCAGGCAGAGCACTGTTCTGCACATGTGCCCCGCAGCGGGCAGCAACTGGGTCATGCACTTTCACTACTTCATTCCTTTCAGAACAGCGTGATTGTTTCTGCTGCTCATGCCTTGATCGCCGATTGGCTCATCACCAGCCCTGCTTGGCTGGCCGCACTACAGCACTACCTTCATGCGACTACATAAGCTGACTGCGGTTCTGGGGCCTTTCTCTCTCCTTTGTAACTGACTTGACTGGCCGCAGCCGGGCTCCGGCTGCACTAGACTTTGACTAGACACGCTGCCTGCTCTTGCAGCTGTGCAGCACTGAAGACAATGCAGCAGATCTAGAGAAGGCTGGTGCCGCCACCGCAGAGGCAGTGCACATGCCGCCACCCGCCCCACCACGTGTCTTGCATCTGTTACACGGCTGCAAGAAATGTCGGATCACGTCCAATCAAACATAAAGCCATGTCTGAGGTTGGGTTCAGGTCGCTCCTGGCCGCCGCCGCGTGCTGCCTCATGCCCGGCACATCGTCCTGCACACCAGACACACTAAAGGAGGTAAATGGCGACGCTGACGCTGCTCCCGTTTTCCTGCTGGCAGCAGAGCCTCAACGGCCGCACTACAGCCCAATAATGGTTTGCAGGCTTGCTCACATGATGCCAGATGCGATGCGCTGCACCAGCACGACGGGCGCCGTCAGGATCATCTTGAGGCCCCTCACTATGCTGCCTAAAGCCCCGGTGCCGGTGGTGCGCCTGCAGGCAGCCTCGGCAGACAGCAAGCACGTCAGTTGGCCAACAGCGGCAGCAGCGCCAGCGGCAGCAGCAGCTGGCTGCTGCCCTGCTGCTGCTGCCGCCCTGCTGCTGCTGCAGCTGCAGAATGACCTAGCTGGGAACCAGCAACGCAAGAGGACTTGCCTGGTAACCATACTTCGTTTCTGTACTTGCCTGGCCGTAGATCAAGGTTGGGGAGTGTTGCCAGAGCGAAGAGGCAAATTCAAACAGGGGAGAAGAGCTCCACAGTGTTCCCTCGGGCAGAGAGGCCCCTCTGCGTTGTCAGCACCTTCCCGGTAACAGCCAGCCATGCCCTCGTTGAGCTCAACTTGAACCTGTGTGTACTTTACATCACTGCGAGCTTAACAAGTCAGACAGAGACAATGCAACTCACACAACCAAGGAAGCGGCACAACCAAGCGCTGCGCACGCCCGTCATGCATCCACATCCATCGCCACCGGGGCCGGCGGCGGCGCCAGCAGTGCTGCGCCCTGGGCGTCAGCGGGAGGAGGAGGAGGAGGAGGAGGGGGCGCGCCGCCGCCCGCTGCCTGCATGCCGTGGCTGGCTGAGATCCTGGCAGCCGCCGCCCTGGCGGCCTCCAGAGGGGTGGGCACGGGAGCGGCAGGCGGGGGAGCGGCCTGCTCCGGCAGCGCATCCAGCGCCTGCTGCAGCAGGCCCTTGGAGGGACGCTGCATGGCCCGCAACGCCTTGGCCTCTGCAGCAGCAGCGCCACGCAGCAGGCCGGGGTGTTGCAGGGGGCACGAGGCGCGGTCGGCGCAAGGGGTGCATGCTGTTGTGCAGCACGTGGTGCAGGCAGGCATGACCGCGGGCCAGCTCATGCTCTCTGCTGCATGCTCGATGCGCCGCGGCTCCGGCCTGCTTGCCTGCCGCCCTGATGTCTTCCGGGGTGAACCGCGCCACATCCTGCGGCCGCTCCACCCCCATCAGCAGCATGTAGGCCAGCAGGGGGCGGTGCTCATCATTCTGCAGGCAGGCAGGCAGGCAGGCAGGCAGGCAGGCAGGCAGGCAGGCAGGCAAGCACGCAGGTGGGGGATGGGCGCTGGCGAGCACGTGAACGACAGGAGGGGATGGAGCGCAGTGCATGGCTGCGCGGTGGAAAGGGCACCCGACGCAGCTTCGACAGCTGCCACGGCTGTGTGTCGCTGCATCGGAGCTGCTGCTGCGGCAAGGCCTGCCGCCGCACCTCGGGTGACAGGTGTGCAAATGCGCTGCGCACGGCACGCAGGTACTTGAGTGAGGCGGTGTTGTCTGCAGCCAGGCGCGCAGGCAGGCTCGGCAGTAACACATCCAACGGTCCCGCCCAAAGGAAGGAAATCAGCCGAAGGGCTCAGCAGGCGAAGCGGCAGAAGGCTGCGCGCCGCTGCCCCTACACCAGGCAGGCACAGCTCCTGCCCAGGCGCGCCCGGCGCAAGGCCCTAGCCCACGCAACCACACCGGGCCAGCCCAGCCCAGCCGGGCCCAGCAGGGCCCAGCCCCCCACCTGCATTGCGGTAGTCCTCCCACAGCTGCTGCTCCAGCTCCACCGCCATGGCCAGCGGGCTCAGCATGGGATGCAGTGCCATCATGAGCACCTGGATGGCGGCGTCGCGCCGCCAGTCGCCTGCAGGGGCGAGGGCGACGCGGGCGCCGCATGCGGCCGGTCGGTGAACGCGCGCGGGCGCAGGGAGGGCCGGAGAAGCCGGGGTGGGCGGCTGGCTGCGCGGGCAGGTGAAGGCTGCGTGGACGCCCCTGCCGCCAATACAACGCAGGGGCGCCCAGCACACGCTCCTGCCGCAGCCTTCCCTGCCGGCCTGCGCACCTGTGCTCTCAAAGGCCAGAAACGGCTCGCCCTCGGCGGCCGCCTCCTTGGCCTCCCCCTGCTGCTGCTGCTGCTGCTGCTGGGCGCCTGCGCTGGCGGCGGGCGGCTCCAGAGGCCCCGCTTTCCTCCCCCCCGCCGCCGCCGCCGCCGCTGGCGCGCCCTGCGGCTGCTGGGCCTGCGGCTGGCTGCTAAGCAGCAGCTCATCAATCACTGAGACAGCCGCAGGCACCCTGCCCGCCCCCTGCCCCTGCCGCTGCTGCTGCTGCTGCGACCCTGGCGTTGCCTGCTGGCGCTGCTTCTTGCCTGCGCCTGCACCTGCGCCTGCGCCTGCCGCGCCGGCGGGTGCGGCAGTGCCCGTGGCCTTGCCTGCCAGCACCTTCCAGTGATGCAGCAGCTGTGACCCTGCCCCCACCATCTCGTTGTGCTTTGCCTGGAAGGCGTGGCGCCTGCCCTCTGCCCACTTGGCGTGCAGGCCCGCCATCTTGGGCAGAGGCAGGCCGCCGTCGGCTGCACGGCAGGTCACCACAGGGCCGCGGCGCAGCACTCGGCACACTCGCCCGCCAATCAGCAATGCCGGCAGCAGCGTGCCAGCCACCGGCCAGCCACTGGGCAACCAGCAGCCAGCCAGCCAGCCAGCCCGGCAGCAGGGCGACCCCACCAGGTGGCCAGCCAGGCGGGCAGCGCACCTGGAGCCGCCGCCCGGAGTTGGTCCATCGTGATGTCCGTCTTCTGCAGCTGCCGCATCAGGCCCGTCACCTTGTCTGCTGCCTGCAGCACCGGGGCGCCGCCGGGGCGAGTGACAGGTCACACAGGAGGAGGACAGTGCACAGCCTGCCTGCCTGAGTATGCTCTGTATTGCCTGCCTGCCAGCCCGCTGTGTTGGCTAGGAGCGGAGGCACGCAGGGAGGCAGCACACACCACACACCACACCACACCACACCAGCCCGTCCTGAACCGCTCCCACACCTGTAGCGCGTGCTGCATGTGCCGATCGTACTCCTCCTGCGCTTCTCGCAGCGCGGCCCGCTTCACCAGCAGGTCTGCGGCAGCGGGCGGGGCGGGGCGAGCGATGGAGCAGCTGCCCTGTCACTGCGCCGGGACGCAGCTGGGCACCCACCCCCACACAGAGCCACCACTCCAGCCCAGCCCATCTGTGCGCCCTTACCATGCACAACCGGGTCTGAGTGCTGCTGCTCGGGCACCTCCGATGCCGGCCCCCGCGGCAGGCGCTGCTTGCTGGCGCTGCCTGGGGAGGCCAGCCCTGCCGCTGAACCTTCGGGAGTGGGCTCTGCCGCCTGCGAGGCAGGGCCCGCCGCCGCCGGCGGGGGCGAGCGCGCTTGCTCCGCCGCTACACCAGCGGCGGCGGTGGCGGGCTTGGCGCCGCCGCGGCGGCCCGGGGCGGGGCCTGCTGCAGGCTCTGCGGTGCGTGTCAGGCGCCGCCGCTTGAGGCCCGCATCCGCCGCTGGCTCCGCTGGCGCTGCAAGGCACCAACACAAGCGCGGGCAGCTGCGTAGGCACACTGGCCTTGACTCGTGACAACAAGGCACACCAAGCAGCCTGGTTCGTGCTGACACTGTACTCAGCATGAACACAGCAGATCTCACCTGCGCCTGCTGCCTCCGTCGCCTCCTGGTCTCCCTGCTGCGCCGCCTGCGCCGCCTGCGCCGCCTGCGCCGCCTGCGCGCGCCCGCGCGCGCGCTTGCGGCCGTGGCGCCCTGCCCTGCGCTGCGCCGCAGGCTCCTCCACGCCCTCCATTGCTTCTCCCTCGGCCTCAGCCTGGGCTGGAGCTGCCGCGGCTTCCGTGGCTGCAGGCGGCGCCGCTGCGCTCGGGGCCGCCGCTCCAGCCTCCGGCGCGGCAGTAGCTGCCGGGGCTGCAGCCTCCTCTGGCGCAGCAGCAGGGGCGGCAGGCTGCCCAGGCCCTGGCACTGCAGCTGCTGCTGCTGCTGGTGGGGCGGCTGCGGAGGCAGCAGCAGCCCCAGCAACCACGGCAGCCGCGCCAGCCCCAAACTCTGCGGAAGCAGCGGCCGAGGGCGGAGGGGAGGCGCCAGCCGGCGCCGCCTCGCCCGCCGCTGCCGGCTGCGCGGGCGCCAGCCTGCTGGTGGCTGCCTGGTGCGGCTGCCGCTGCTGCGCCTGCTCCTGCTGCTGCTGGTCCACGCTGCCTGAGCCGGCAGGGGCGCCTGCTGGGAAGGCCGCAGCCTGCGCCCAGCTGCGCACCTTGACCCGGGCCGCCATCTGCTGCTTGCTGTCGCTGCTGCCTGGCGTGGGGCCTCCCGGCACGGGCAGCGCTGCAGGTGCCGCCTGCTGCTCGGCGGCGGCGGCGGCGGAGCCTGGCTCCGCCGCCCCGGCTGCCGCCATCTCAGCTTCCATGGCTGCTGTTCCCGCTGTGATCTGGCCCAGCGTGGCAAACAGCTCCCCTGAGAGCTCCCCGGAAGCTGCAGGCCCCGGCTCGCCAGCCCCCTCCGCTGCCTGCCGCGCCACCCGCGGGCGGCCCCCGCGGCCTCCCCGCCGCCGCTGCGCCGGCGCCTCCTCACCGCCGCTGGCGCCCTGCCCGCGCGCGCGCCCCCTGCCCTTGCGCCCCCGCCCCTGCCCCGCCTCGCCCTGCTGCTGCTCCCCCGCTGCCTGGCCCTGCCAGCGCGCCCCAGGCCCCGTCAGCACCGCCCCAGGGGCGAACGGGTCGGCCACCTCATCCACATTCCACAGCACACACGTCTCGGTTGCCAGGGTGTGCTCAGCCTGCGGCACGGAAGGCGCGCCGGCGTCTGTGTGTTGCGGCGGTGGGGTTGGCGGCGTGTGTGGACATTGGCGGTGTGTGGCCCGGGGCAGCCAGGAGCCTGGCGCGTCGCAGCAGGCAGCACGAGGCGCGCGCGCAGGGCCTGGCAGGAGGCAGCCATGCATGCAGGCTGAACACTCACGATTTCGTCTGGGTACTCAAGCCTGTGCTGGTCGGATGCGGGCAGGTATTCGAGCACGCGACCCTGCAGCAGGCCGGTGGGCGCCAGGCAGGGCGGCTCGACAATCGCGGCCACCGTTCATCCCTGGGTGTGCCAGGCAAGCGAGCGCGTGGAGGCAGAGCGGCGCATGCTGCTGGCGGGCTCTGCGGCGCGCGGCTGCAGCCCGGTGCAGGCGTGCGCAGCCGTGGTGAGGCGGGGCCTTACATGATAGAAGCTGCCCTCTGTGTTGTCGTCGGAAGACCACCACCACACCTTGAGCTCACACCTGCAGCCCACGGCGGCGACACGTTTGGACACATGAAGGCACGAAATGGCGGCTGCCTTTCTGGGCAAGCGGCACAGGGATGGCTGCGGCGGCACAGCTGGGCGGCCCTGCAGGGAGCGGCACGTGCCAGGCAGGCAGCAGGCATGGACGGGAGGGAGTGGAGGGAAAGCGCGACAGGGCAACCCACCCGACCAGCTCCTCGCGAGTGAAGGGGATGTCTGTGGTGGTGGGCTGCGGCGGTTCGGGGTGCATGTCAGCCTCCTCCTCCTCCTCCTCCTCCTCCTCCTGCAGCCGCCGCCGGCCCCCTCTTTTGGGCGCCTGCGTTTTGGACTGGCGGCCGCTTGCGCGGCGCTGCAGCGGTCGGCTGCCGCCGCTGCCGCCCTCCGCCTCTGGGTCTGCAGTGTTCTCGCGCGAAGCTTGCGTCAGACCCCTGCCGGAGCCGTGGCGGCTCAGGCGCACCCCTGGCTGCTCCTGCTCTGGCGGCGCCTCTGGAGGGTGCTCGGCGGTGGCGGCGGCGGCGGCAGCAGCAAGGTCTGACCGCCGGTGCTGCAACACCGGCTCATCGTCGCTGCTGCTGCTCTTGGTCGCCATTCTGCACGGCCCGGCAGAGGACGAGGGGGGTAGGTTGCCTTGCCACCAAGTTGATCACTCAAGAACTTTGATGGGAGGCGCGAAAACCCTCCCGGGCGCTTGAATTACGCCTTGGAAGATGCCGGCGATTCACCTGGCACTCCCTTAGCCCCAACGCCGGCCTGCAACTAAAAGTGGTGCTGAGTAGCAGCCGGGTGGCCTCCACAATGCACCACCTCTTCTAGGACATGCACATCAACGGTCTGTGAGGTGTAACCGGCCTCCTCCTGTGCTGCAGCATTTCATGGTGCCCTGACCTTCCACCCGCGTGCGGCCAGCGGGAGCAGCCCCAAACGCGGCTCCCGACACCCGCATTTCGCATTTGGACGTGTTGACATCCCCAGGAGGCCCTTCTGATTCAGGTGGGAAGGTCTGCAAGCCCCGCGCTGTGCGGGGCGGGGGGGCGGCCGACGACTCTGTTCAGACTGTGCGCTGCCTGCGGCTCCGATTGGCCGCCGATGCATGTCAAAGCCCAGGGCGGTTGGGGTTGTGGCAAACGCGCAGCCTCCTTCCTTCACTGCCTCCCCCATCGCGCGGCAGCGTCAAAGCGCCCTCTACTAGCTTCTGTTTCCAACACACGGGCAGCAAAGCGTCGTGGATTGAGGCGCCGGCGCCGGCTGACATCCTTTGCCATCCTTGCATGCCCTGCCGGTCTTGTGGCCGGGGGTGGGACTTGTTGCAAAAACCCTACTGGCATGCTGCTCCCCCATTGCAGGCCAGTTCAACCCAGCCATGACCTGCCCCGTGTGCAAGGACGCCTGCCAGTGCCCGGCCGGCGGCTGCGAGTGCGGACCGGACTGCAGCTGCTGCAAGAAGGCCGCCACCGCGACCTGCCCCAAGTGTGCCGACAAGTGAGTTGGCACAGCTCTTCCCTTGCATGAAATGCCGCACTGCCAGGGGAATCCCGTGGCAGGCGGCCACAGCAATCTAGCCTGACTTTCCATGCATGCCGCTCCAAGCGCCGTTGGCTCGCCGCCATCTGCCGAGCCCTGGCGGCTGCTGGGCCGTGGTTGGTTGTTGAGCTTGGTTGTTGAGCTTGGTTGTTGAGCTTGTTGTTGACCTGCTTATCTTGCTTCTGCACGCAGGTGCGAATGCGGCGATAACTGCGGGTGTGGCGACGACTGCACCTGCTGCCCCAAGAAGTAGATCCATCTGCTGCGATCAGCCAGGCTCAAGCCGTCGGCGGTGTTGCCCTCGGCAACGACACCACAGCCCACTACGCTGTTTTGCCGTGCTTGCTCACCGGCCCTGATAATGTGCCTCCATTCTTGATTCTGTCCGAAGTAACAGCCCGTACTCCGGCGGATTCCTTATAGCAAGCCCGCGCTGGCCTGCTTCTGGCAGCTGGAAGCATCGTTACATCAGAGAGTCGGCGGGCGCTCCCCGCCGCGGGCAGCCCGGCCGGCTAGCTGCCGCCCTGGGCTGCGGCCAGCGCGATCAGCGAGAACTGAATGCTGTCAGCGCGCTCCACAAACTTCTCCCGCACCACCCTGGCTGCCGCCTCCAGCAGCTCCTCGCCCGCGCACGGCCCGTGGTTGATGGGGCTGGCCTTCCTGCGGGCGGCACACACGGGCGCAGGGGTAGGGGGGAGGAGGGAGGAGGTGGAGCCGAGGGGCAGCAGGCAGCAACAGCGCTGCAGGGGCAGCGCTGCAAACCAGCTCTTGCAGGCTGCAGCCCAGGCTCCCGCACGCCCCAGTTTGCCCATGCCCGCCAGTGCCGTTCCCCTGGCCTCCGCAGCGCCCCACGGCCCCACCACCAGCGCCCAACACCCCCACCTGCATTCCAGCTCATAGATGGCACCTTCGCGGCACACAAACGCGGCAAAGTGCAGGTTGACCTCCTCATCGGCAGAGGGGGCTGCCGTGTCGCCCTGCTGCGCTGCCGCCTGCAGGGCATGTACATGCACGAATGGGTGCAAGAGGGGCACGGTCTAGCTGGCGGGCACGAGCTGGCGATATTTGTTGGCAGATGAAGGTACGGAAGGTACGGGGCACGGCGCATGCCATACGACATACGACCAGACGGCAAGCTGCGGGGCCGCTGCCGGTGGCGGCGCGCCTCGTGAATGGAGTCTATGTCTGGCGCCCCCTCGGGAGGGCTCTCCAGGTAGCCCCCCCGCTCCGCTGGCCCCATGCCAGCGGTCACCTCCAGAAACTGCTGCAGGAAGGAGCCCTCGGCTGCAGGAGGCGGGGGCGCGGCGGGCGGTGGCGAGCGCAAGGGCGGCGGAAGGAGAAGGAGGCACTGATGCCAGTGGGCAGAGCAGGTGGCCGCTTGCTAGCTAGCCAGCATGCAGAGGCGCGGTCAGGCGGCGGCTGGCGCCCACCCACCCAGTCCCAGCGCCTGCCGGTTGTTGGCCACCGCGTGCAGCAGCGCGATCGTGCCGCAGGCGTTTCCGATGGTCTGCTTCATGTAGTACAGGGAGGGGCTGACCTCCTGGCCCTTGGCATCTATCTCCTCTGCAAGGAATGCGGGAAGAAAGGAGTGTGGCGGTTGGCGAGTGTGTGCGGACCGCGGCCCAGTGGACGCGCCCGGTCGGCAGCTCGCGGCGAGCAGCAAGCGCACCTTTCTCCTGCTTGCGAGCGGCCTCTGTGGCATCGGTGCTGCGGACAGTGGGTGAGGCAGTGCTCAGTCTGGGAGCAGTGTGCCACATTTGTCTGCTCGCAGCCCCCAAACCCCCACCCAGCAGGCACAGACACGAGCACAGCCTATGCTGTGCATGTCACTTGCATGGGGAAGAGCAGGAGCACGGCGATCACCGGCCGAGGAACCATCGCCAGCAGCTCCTGGCACAGGAAGAGCGGGCGGGAGGCGGGCGGGTGGGCAGGCGGCAGACGGGGAGCAGGCGGGCGGAGGCGGGAGCCATGCTTCCCACTCAGCAGCCTGGCCGCGCACTCCAAACCGCAGTTTCAGCGATGCAGGTGTAGTTTGCTGTCGGCGATCAGTCGCATGCCGACAGTCGTCGAAGCTTTGCATACCTCATCGAGTCCATAAATGTCACAGAATTCGTATCCGTTCAAAGACACTCCCAGTTTCTGCGCAAACTCGTTCAGCACCTCTGGGTTTGCCTCCAGGGGAATCCACTTCTTGCCCATTGCTGCAGCACTTTGCCCGACACACTCACAGGGACTGCCATGCGGCGGGCGGCCAAGACAGAACTGGAACTCTGACCTGGCGGCCGGCTGGCGGCAGCGCCGACCGCCTGCACCTGCGCGGGCGTCGTAAAATGTTACATCTACTAGTGTGGTCACTGGCATGAACTGGTCTGAATGCTGCTAGCCTGAGAATGAGGGAGTCCATAGGTGACTGGATGAGAAGAGAGCAGAAATGACCGAGGCCGAGGGCGATGGACAAGAGAACGCAAGCTGGGTGCCCCAGCCGAAGCAGCTAGTGCTGCTGAAGCTGGGTGGCCAGGCGGCTGGCGGACGCCGGCCGCGCGCCCGTCAGCCCCTTGCTGGCCTTGTCCAGCGGCAGCGTGGCCTTGCCGTTGGCCGCCGCCGCAGCCAGGCTGTTCATTGACTTGCTGGCCAGGCTGCTGGCCGACTTGCTGCTGGAAACAGACTTGCTGCTGCCACGGGAGTGGCCCAGCCCGCGCTTGGACTGGGCTGCGGGCACCTTGGCGGAGGCAAGCGACGACGGCGCCTTGCGCACGGCGTGTACGGCGCCTGCAGCGGCGGGGCACGCGGCGTCGGGTCGAGGAGGCCACCCGCGGCTCGACAGGGGGCGCTGCAGGAAGGCTGGCTCGTGCCCCACCCCACCCCATCTCCACATAATTGCCATCACCACCCCCACCACCTCGCCGCCACTGCCACACCACACATGCACACGCCGCCACCACCATACATGCTGCTGCGCTCTCACCGGTGGGCAGGTAGCGGGCCTGGCGCTGCTGGAAGGCCTTGAGCGCCTTGCTGAGGGAGGCCGTCATGGGGGCCTTGGCGCCCAGGCACTTGCTGGCAATCAGGTACGCCCTGCAACCAGGCGCCAGGCAGGCAGGCAGGGGCGGCGGCGGCGGCGGCGGCGGTGAGGCCGAGCGGTCCAGGCAGGGAGGCAGGGGCGACGGCAGCGGCGGCGGTGATTCCCGGCGGTCCAGAGCAGGGAGGCTGGCGGAGGGACGAGAGCCGAGCGCGCCGTGGAGCCAACTGTCGGCACAGCCGAGCCGAGGAACCCCCCCCTCCCCCAGCCCCCCCCCCCCCCGGGGACTTTATTGGCTCCTGT